GGCAGCTGCATTTCAAACATCCTTCTACCAATATACCCACTGTCCCTCCTCTGGACATAAACTATCTCAGTCTGGCCTCTCTAACTTTATCTCCCAGTTGTTCAACCTGTGCTGTACCTCTGATGATCTCATTCCTAATCTTATCCAGCCATGTCACTCCAAAGGAGAACCTCAACATCTTCATTTCTGCCACCTCCTGTTCTTTCTCCTGTCTTTTTGTCAATGCGACAGTCTCCAGACCATACAACACATCTGGTCACTACAGTCTGGTAAACCTTTCCTTTGCTGCCACTCTTTTGTCATGAATCAGATCGGAGGCAATGTGTTCAACATAATGGTACTTCCTCGAGTTATTTAACTGTCAAAAATGGTGTGTTCAGTCTTAGGACGCACCCTCTTTACAATCTACATTGGTAATGTAGGTCAGAGCATTCTTGACGCATCCTTACATTTCTACGCTGATGACACAGTTGTTTATTGTCGAGATAAAACAGTTGCTAAGGCTTTCCAGCTTTTACAATTCGCCTTTGACATCATCCAGTCAGATTTGTTCCATCTCAAACTTGTCTTAAATGCTGATAAAACCAAAGGGATGCTTTTTTCAAACAGGAAGTCAGTCCCAGCAGTTCTTCTTCTGATTTTATCCTCAAATGGTGTCCTTATTGAGTTTGCCAATTCCTATCAATTTCTTGGTCGACTTGCATCTCTCTTTTAAGCTCCACATGGAAAACCTAGTAAAGAAACTGAAAGTTAAACTGGGTTTCTTTTTTCAGAAATTGATCCTGTCTTACTCTAAATGCTAGGAAACTCCTTGTAACTGCAACTTTCCTTCCCTCCATTGACTACGGTGATATTATCTATATGAACGCTCCTACAAGCACCCTGCAGATGTTGGATGCTGTCTATCACGGTGAACTAAGATTCATAATTGGCTGTAACTACCGTACCCACCACTGCACCCTGTATTCACTGGTTAACTGGACATCATTAACTTCACGCAGACTCACTTTTATCTTTAAATCACTTCTTGATCTGTTGCCTTCATACATCTCCTCCTACATGTCTCTGTGTGAGTGCAGCTACAGCGTGCGCTCTCAGGACATTATTACCTGCAGTGTTCCCTCAGTGTAGACTGAACTAGGCAAAAGGGCCTTCTCCTACTTCACTCCTGTTTCCTGGAATATCTTGCAAAAAAATCTGAAGCTCTCGACCTTGACCTCTCTAGTGGCTTCAAACATCTGTTAAGTTCTTGGCAAGAACCACTGCAGACATGTTCCTGTTTTTAGTTTTCTACATCGTCTTACAACCTAGTTGTTTTTGTTACATTTCATCTTATTTTAATTTGTAAAAAAAAAAAAAAAGAAAAGAAAGAAAATCGGTATGCCTCTTTTATGATTGTCTATTGCTGTCATTGTTGTCTACTGTTGTCATCACTCATTGTTAAAATCAGGTATGTCTTGTAAATGAGTCCTTGAGGCTCAATGGGATTAACCTGTATAAATAAAGGTTGAAAGAATGAATCACTTCTGAAACTTTTCTCCATCCTGTATTTCATCTTCTCTGTATTAAAAAGCACAAGAGCACTTGTCACGTTTTCCTGAACATATAGCCACAATTTTCTTCTTATAACAGAACTGCCTCCTCATCTATATTTACTGATTTTGTGTGTTTGTGCATAACGCTGTGTGTGCATGGAAACGTACTTCTGGGATTACAACGGATGTCTTTGCAGTAAGTTTTAAAGTGGATATGACATCAGTGGAACAATCAGATGATTAAATCTTCCTTGGCCACACACAAACACATGAATGTTTCACACTGAATAAATACGCTGCCATGCATTCTTTGTTTGGCTGCACACCCAGAATCTCAGATGCCCACCGGCAAGTTGATGCATTCAGTAATATGAGTGATGTTGACATTTCTGGGCCAAAAGGATAACTGAGGGATTAAAGGAGACATGTGATTGGAAGAAACAAGGTAAGAGAACATGGAAACCTTTTCAGTTGTACAGGGGAACCCACACACTTAAAGAGTCATGCACAAAGAGGTCAAAAGGTGACGTAATACCATTGTGTAGATCACTGTTTACCTGCTTCTTCCTTTCCAGGTCACGGGGGTCACTGGTGCCCATGTCCAGCAGTCGCTGTGTGAGAAGTGGGGAAGTCCTCGACAGGTCACAAGTCCATCATAGGTCCACATAAAAACAAACAACCATTCTCACCTAGGGACACTTTAGAGTTACCAGTTAGTCTTACATGCATGCATGTGAGCTGGAAACCGGAGAACCTGGAGAAAACCCACACACCTGCCAACTCCACCCACACTGGTCTCCAGACGGGATTTGATTCAGTTACGTCCTCGCTGAGAGGTAATAGCTTTTATCAACTGTGCTATCGTGACAGCCTGTCGTTTAACCCCAACGTTAAAATGTTATCAGGGCTGCTTTCTTCCATCTGCGCAGTATCACTAAAATTAGAAACATCTTGTCCTAAAATTATGTGGAAAACCATGTATTTATCACTTCAAGGCTGGATATGGTGTCCAAAAATGCTTTAAAAAGTCTTCAGATGATCCAAAATGCTGCTGCAAGAGTTTTGATGTGAGTTAGACAGAAATATTATATTTCTCCAGTTTTATTTTAGCTTCCCTCCAATGGCTTCCTGTCAGAATAAAATTTAGACTCTCCCAACCTACAAAGCTCTCAACAGCTGAGCTCTAATCTAAATTAAACATATTATTGTTCCAATTTTTTCCTGATTGAGCTTTTCACTCTTAGGCTTCAGGTTTACTTGTGGTTCCTATGAGTTTCTAAATGTGGAATGGGAGGCAGAGATTTCAGTTATCAATTACCAGTTTCTGTCAGTGAGGCTGACGCTCTGTCTACTTTTAAGACTAGACTTAAGTCTTCCCTTTTTGATAAATCATAAAGTTAGTGTTTGCTTGGGTTTACTGAGCTATCCTATAGTTAAGCAACTATAGGCTTTGACTGCTGGAGGACAAACTGACAATATTTTCTCACACTGCATTAGTCGTTATACTCGCTCTACTCTTCACATTTGTAATTATTTCCATCATAAAATATGTATTTATTTGTCTTTCTCTCCATAGAAACCGTACCTGGGCCAGCTGTTATTGTCTGTCTTGTTTTCTTGTCCTCTGCAACCGGATCGGCCAGTCGAGGCAGATAGCTATCCTGAGCCTGTTTTTGCTGAAGGTTTCCTCCTGCTAAAACGGTAAACTTGATTGCAACAGTGTGCAAAACTACTGAACTCTGTCAGTGCCACAACCTGATCTGAGTGCTTACACACAAACTGCACTTAGACTATTCTAACACTGAGTTTCAGCCTGAGAGAGTTTGAATTTGTTGAGAAACCTCAGAAAAATAAATACATTTGTGCAATGCTGCAACCGAGCCACATGATGGAAATATTGTCCAAACTACAGCTGCTTCTTCACATCTGTCTCAACACTGACGCTGCAGATTCAGCAGGATTTTACACCGTAGGATTTACTTTTAAAACTAAATTAGGAAACTATTCAAGTAAATTGTACATAATCTATAATGCATAAGCGTGTACCAATAACTTTGGCATTAATTGAACTACATATACCTCTAAAAGAACTAAGCCAGTGCAGATAACCTCCTTCATAACAGTAAAAGTCTTCGCTTGTAATTAAAGGTAACAGACAAAAATCCAAACAAGTAACTACTTCTCTGTTTTAACATTGGTACTTGTATTTTCTTATACAAACAAAGTTCAAATTACTTAAAAGTGTGTTTTTATTATAAATGACTTTTGCATACTTTGTGCTGTTTTAACCATTCATGCGTCAACATGGTTGGTTTGATTGGGAATAGTGTACTATTATTTTTTCATTGTGTTTCTTTTTTACTTTAAACTATTAAATTTAAATGAGCTTTATTTAAAATAAACTCATCAAATACAATGAGATCTCGTCTATTCCTCTATTTTTTTCTCATTCTACTTATAGCTATGGTTCTTATTTATCTACCATGTTGCGTCTTTTAGCTTTTCTTTCTTTTCATACAAGAAATTACAAACCAAACAAAACCAGGTACATGATAACATTTTATAACGTATAAATAAATAAACAAATAAGTATAAAAATTAAATTCTAAAAATATATTTAAAAATATTTAAATCATAAAAATTACAAATTATAAAAATTTATATAATTTTAGCCACATTTAGCTTCATTAGGTTTAGCTCAGTTTCCCATCTGCTTTGTTAATTATAGCTTTAGTTTAGATAATTTGTTTATTTGGACCATTAGCCATTGCCGTACTCTTCCTGGGGTCCACATCTAAAAAAAAACATTTATTACAAAGACAGTTACACACTTAATAAAACATTAGTAACATGTGATAATTAATTCATTTTTAATTCTAACACTTTATATAATAAAATAATTTAGCAGGGCACTTTTAAAAGCTTTAGCAGTTGTTACATTTAACACATAAAGGAAGAGAAATCCATGTTTTCATTACTGTAAAAGTAATTTTAGCTACTGTTTTACTACTTTTAGCTATTCTGCTTCTTTTAGCAGTTCAATAATCATAAAAATGGCCACATCACAGTCAGTTTTACAGATAATTGACCTAAATTTGTATGTGCTTGTTGAGAATCATTCACAACACATGCTCTGAGCTCGAAATTTCATGTAATGTGATTAAATATTAAACTGAAACAAACTTTTAGACAGGATCTGTGGCTTTTAATCTATTTTTTTGCGGCGCCTTGAAATGCGCATGCGCAGTCCTTTTCACGCTGGGGTGATTTTTTTTCGGCACAACACCGGAGCTGAGAAACTTGAGAGACGCGGAAGAAAAACGCATCCCTACAGAAAACCGGATTTCTGTGAAGAACCGCGAGGGAGAACAGTCGTCGTTTGTTCAAGTAACGAAACTAGTCGCTGACTTGTGTGGAAAAGAAGATGTGAGGAGTTTCGGAGCCATGACAGTCTGACGCTGCGGAGGTTTGTAGCATCGGTAGCGGATGCAGCGAGCCTGTCCCGACCTCACGCCGAGCCTGAGTTCACTCCGGGCGGCCACATCACAGCAGAGCGAGCCGGGTGAGCTGGGTTCATGATCAATGAAAAGCCTGTAGGGAAACTTTAGCATTTTGAGTTAAACACCTTTTTTTTATGTGATTTCCTTCACTGCACTGTAAAGTAACATGTTTCAACTTTTAAAAAGAGTCAAAAAGTTCAAATTAAAAATTAAGTGAACATCTGTTCCAACTTTATTTATGTTGCTTTGATTAAAAAAAAATGCTTTGTGTGAACTTCTATTGTTGTTTGGCTGATGTGGGCTGGATGTTGCTCCCTGTTAAAAAGGAGTTGTTTATTCCCACTGTCGCCACCGCGCTATGATGCATGATTATGACAAAATGAAAATTTGAGCAATCTACTGGTTTAAATGGGTATTCCTAATTGACATTTGATAATGCATGTGAAGTATTATAATTAGAATTGAACAGACTGTATTTAGATTTCTATCTGGACCTGAAATGAATTACTAATTTAGATTATTTATCTTGTTTATTGCCTTGAGAGGACTTTTTTGAGTGAACTGGCTAATAAACCAAACTGAATTTGTATTTGATTGTTGTTTAAACTTTCAAATTTATCTCAACTTCATTGAAAGAAGTTACGTAAACCTTTTATTTCTGTTAAGTTGATTTAGATTACTTAATTGATTGAACAGTGTTGGATAATTGTTTGAATCTGACATTTTGTTTTTTTAGCTTGAATGTGTTTATTTGAACTAAATATATTAAATATTTGGACTAAGACAATTTAATTTTCAGTGTAACCAATGTGATGGGGTCACTGGTGCCCATGTCCAGCTGTCACTATGCGTAATATTAACATTTTAATTTAATAATTGTAATAATTAACATTTCTTTAAAAATCTTCTTGTCAATGTACTTGACTCAATCACCATTATTTTTCACATACTAGCAAATATACAAGCAAACCTTATAAAAATTAGTAAAAAAAAAAAAAAAAGCTTTTCCCCAGTAGTCTGTGGGAAACATGTATGATGTCATGTATGAAACCAGTCTGTGATTAAGACTTGGTCTGTTTATGACAACTATTTGTACAATAAATAAATATTCTTCTACTCCCTTCATAAATCATTAACTGCTGTAAATGGAAAAGTACACTTAAAAATTGTGCCATGTCCAGAAAAAAATAAAAAAATAAACTGACATAAACAGTCTTAACTTAAGCTGAATTTCTGCTGGAGCATCTTTCCTGGTGCAAGTGAGGTGTCATCAACATAGCAGGACTGCTTTTTTATAACAACCATAACAACTGCCAAAACACACCACAATGTTTTTTTTATTAGAATTTTTTTGCATAGTATCATCTATAATCAAATAAACACCAAATACACTTAATTTGCTACTAAAAGTCTACAGCGTCGTTTGTAATAAACAAACCAAATGAGCAAAATCGCGTTTTGTTGTCTCCAACTATGAGTGGTTTGTTTACGTTCAAGCAGAATTACACTTTGGTCAGTCTTGACGTGCGACGGGGATTGGGTCGGTAAACAAATCACATGATGTAAACAGAGTCCGAGGGAGAACAATGGAATCAGAGACTCAAGATTGAAAGTAAAATGTTCTTCACTCTTCTGAAAAGAACAGGCGACTAAAAGCTGTAAGGACGAGAGTCACCTGAAGAAGAGTTATTTTGAGGGAGGAAATTGAGAGGTTGTGAAGGTTAAAGCAACAGTCGGGCCTAAGAGCCTATGAAAGTAAGTTGTGCCGAGATATTCCGAACTCTTAACGGGAACATTTCCATCACTGATTGTAACTGATATCACCAAAATTAGATGCGAACAGAGCCTAGGAATATTTTTTGTTTGCTAACCCAACTTTTACAACCCCCTGATGACTTTGAGCTACAATAACCCGCAAACAGTTAATTTGTTTGAGGGTTAGAAATTGTGTTAAAGCATAAAAATTTGCATAAACTAACTGAAAAATTGTGCATTTCAACAACTATTATGGCTTTAAACAAGCTGCAGTTCTCCTCCTAAACAGTAGGTGTTGCTACTGAGAAAATACACTCCCAAAAAAACTTTGGTGAACAGTGAAGAAATCGTACAACGTCCTAATCCTGTACAAATTACACAGTAAACCTGTTTTTAAACGTTTTATAAAATCATTGTTATTGTCGTTGTTTGGCATGTAAAAGATGAGATCGGAAGGATTGTTAACGGAAACCGTCTGCATTTAAAATTCATAAAATCTCAGTGGCTCTTTCACGACTTCCTCTACAGGATGTTGATGTGTTTGCCTGGATTTTAATCAGTTATGGTTTTGTTTGTTTATAAAAACAACTGACAAGATATGCCGTATGACCTTTTTGCTAAAAGTACTTTTTTTTTTTTTTACTTCACGAGGAGCAGAAACTCCCACTTTTAATAATTACGGTCTGATCTAAATCATCGCTCTGAAAAGCAAATTTTATGCCCAAATAAGGCTTTTTATATCTTCATAGGTTTGTGATTTGCAGTTTTTGTTTATTTACATAATCTGTCTCAGTATTTCTGTTCAAAAACAAACTGGAGGTGAATTTATTCTCTTTTTAGGCCAAATTAGTAAAGAGATTAATATCTGACTGCTGTTTCTTTAGCAGGTAAAACTTACATTTATACACCTGATGAGTTGTTTAGTTACATTAGATCATATTCATCTTTAGAAAGTGTACATATATTCGTGTACAACAGTTTTGAGTCACTCCCTTGTGTATTTATTTTCATTTGTTTCTTGTAGCCTTGAGCAACATTTCCATTTTTTTTAAACATATCTTTCAATATTTTTTTCATTTGCTGCTTTTTCATCACTTTTTTCATCCAATTTTACACCTGTTCATTTTCAGACAAATGAGTTAATCAAGAAACGGATCAATGAATTGTCAATAGGAAAAGCAGATGAAGTACAATTTAACTGAAATCATGTGTAGCACAATATTTAAATGAACTTCTAATTGGCCAGATGATTTAAATAGTTGGATTTTCTATAATGGTATCTGGTTTTTTTCAGACTTTGAGTAATCCTTCATAACAAATTACACTGATATGGTTTCTTACTCTTGACTGTATATCCTGTTATGGAAACACCTGAGCAGATAAAGATTATTAGCTTTTATTTGTTTGCAATGCTTTATGTGTTTTAGGGTGAGAATTTTAGCCTGCTAACTTATTCATCTTAAATTGATGAGAATAAAAATAACAGTACCATAGCTAGTCTAATGAAAAACCCTATCTCGAACCATGTATCCCTACAATTACTAGCAGTGATTAGTTCATGAGATTCTTTATAAATAAAAGTATTTCAATTAGGGGAAAATAATCAACTCACTTACTTTTTTATGTATATGAACGGTTCTGTTCAGTGCCCTGAGATGACTTCTGTTGTGACTTGGCGCTGTAGAAATGAACTGAACTGAATTGAATTGAATGATGCTGTTCCACAAAGCGAGTCTATATTATTTATTATTTTTTATTGGCATGTTTCAGTTCTGTGTAGGCAGTTTTGACTCATTTAGCCAAAGCGTACCCAGAATCCAATTATGTCTTTACTGGAAGACAATAATCAGCAGACATGCTACAGGGAAAGTACATTACCCTTGAATATTGGGTCAAGGAACGCTTGGCAAGTTTGAATCAGGTCAGAGCTCCACAATCAGCCGATGTAATGTGGAAAAGTGAGGTTTAAAAAGAAAAGAGAAGAAACACCAAAGCGAGAAGTTTTTGTTTTTCTGTCACACTTTTGCCAAAACCTTGTTCGCCACCGTCTGTTGTGTGAACCTGCGTATTTTGGAGCTCCGATCGATTTATTTTAAGCACTATAACCAACACTTGCATATAGATCACAGCCAGTAAATGAATGCTTACAACTGTTATAATCTATGTTATGTTGTGGTCACTTGTGGCTTTTGAATCAACAATACGTTTCGACTTTAAAAAGCTTGTTTGTCTTGATCCTAATATGTGTGTCACTTTGATTTGACAATATTCAGCGGCGCCGTGAGTGCCGTACACGTGCACACATGTTCTGCAGCAGGGAAAGGAAACGACTGTACTTTTATGTCACTGTTCTGTGGTCTGTGCAGTACATTTTGTCATGATGTCATGTGATCATGTTTTTCAGGGCTGATGGGTTTTGTTGTGCTGATGTATGCAGCTAACAGCTAATGTAACTTACTGTAGGTGCTGGATGATGTCAAGAAACACCAGAACATTTTTTTTTTTCCCCCAATACTTCAGTTTTACATGAGCTATATAAAATTGTTTTTTTAATAGTTGTGAGATGAGATTATTTTAATCAGAAAACCAAATTTCACTGTTTTGTTTTAAGCGTAAGAATTGTGAACCTATATTGTCTGTTGCCAAAGTTTTAAACACAAATCTTGTATGTTTTAGTGCTTGGAGTATGTGTTGATGACGCTCAGCTTCTATCACAACCAAATTGTAGCTCAATTTCGGCTAAGTTGTAGCCATTTGTGTGTCGTTTTGAAATTATTTAAACATCTAGATATTAGTAAAAAAATGTTGGTTCATATTAGAATTATTCAGGTCATTTTTTATCACCAAAAAAAACTTGTGTTCGGAATTAGTGCTCCAAATAAGTATATGAACAAACAAATGTTTATATATTATATTTAATATTATTTATATTCTATTCTCATCCTGAGGGAGATTAGAGAAGGGGACAGAATCGTTATTGCTCAAGAACACTTAAAAACACTCTTGGGACTTTGTAAGCATGACTGAATAAATAGTGTTATGTCAAAGTATGAGAATTATGTGAGCGGGGTTGCTTAGGACAACATGAACTTTAGAAGCAACTTTCCTGTTTACTCAGTCAATAAGGATTTATTGTACCGTTGAGTCCTTTTAGTAAACTTGTTTGTGGTCAAAGCCCGGCCCTAATGCAGTGAAACCTATTTTTTGGGTTAGGTTTAGGGCTATGGTGTGGATTGAAATGGGGTACTAGACATTCACAAGTAATGCTTAGGTTTAGAAATGAATGCAAGTGTCCAAAAGAGGATTG